GATTTGTCACATTTCTGAAATTCGGTGCCGCCCCTCACGCAGATCCGCGGGGGCAGGGTCCAAAAACACATTGGATTTGCCACATTTCTGAAATTCGGTGCCACCCCTCACGCAGATCCGCGGGGTCAGGGTCAAAAAACATAAAGGATTTGCCACATTTCTGAAATTCGGTGCCACCCCTCACGCAGATCCGCGGGGCCAGGGTCTAAAAACACAAGGGATTTGCCACATTTCTGAAATTCGGTGCCACCGCTCATGCAGATCCGCGGGGTCAGGGTGGAAAAACATAAGGGATTTGCCACATTTCTGAAATTCGGTGCCACCCCTCACGCAGATCCGCGGGGCCAGGGTCTAAAAACGCAAGGGATTTGCAACATTTCTGAAATTCGGCGCCACCCCTTACGCAGATCCGCGGGGTCAGGGTCCAAAAACATAGGGGATTTGTCACATTTCTGAAATTCGGTGCCACCCTTTCACGCACATCCATCGTAAGGCGTTGGAACCCAAACTGCGAGAACCCCCTCGGCCCTTTAATCGCAAGGTGTGGCAACCAAGCCCGTAAACCATACACGTCTTACCAATCGCCAGGTGTGGTAACCCTCTTGTGATCAGTTGGTTCTGCTGATTGCGATTCGGCTTCGCATGAAGTTTCGATGCTGCTTCACGACAGCGCCAAGGCCTCATGACTTAGCTCTTCCATGGCCCATTCTCCGAGAGAGGGGGCCGGCGGCAGGGGGCGAAACCCTTGCGGATAACAATGGGCTCTGCCCGCCCCCCGCCCCCCCGGGATTATCGACGCCCCTTTTCGCATTGCAATTTACGCGCGATTCTGCCCCATCGCCCATCCGGAATATAGATTCAAAACATCCCAGCCCAACCGGCATCGCCCCCCCCGTCATCCTCTGCAAAATATATTATGCGCGCGCACTCGTTGATCAAACATCGTAAATTGTCACGGATCCCCAAAGCAAAAAACGGCGAAATGCTCGCGGCCGCGTCGTCGCGCGCGCGCCGAAATTCTCCGACAACCTTCGGCTTCGCGGGGATATCAAAATCGAGCGCCCAAAGGTCATGCAAGAAAAAGACATGGACGCAAGGCGGGTTCTCAACTAAGAAGCGCGAGCGCTCTTGCGAATTCTTGAGAAACCATCGGCTATCCAACGTGTTCAGAAACTACTGACACGCGGGCTCTGCGCGCGCGTCGTCGCGCGCGCGCGTCGAACTCTTTCCAAAACCTTCATCGCCGACGCGAGGGCGCTGTCATCGTCGTCGGCGCGATCGGCGTCGGCGCCCGCGCTGGCCGCGCCCTCGTCGTTGTCGACGTCGTCAACCGCATCGCTGCTATCATCGTCGCGTCTGCCGTTGCCCACGTCGCCCGCCCAAGTCGCCGACTCGCAGCGAAGTGCCCGCTGGGGTGCGCCCAGCGGTCAGCGCCGCCGCGTCCGTCGGCGGCGCCAAACTATAGCTGGCCGACGCGCGCGCTTGGATTGGCGCGGCCGCAGAGATGCACCGGCCGATGCTTTGCATGTGTCGCAATCGCCACCGCGCGGGCTTCGCGAACCAAGGCAAGGGTGGGCGGGCGGGATGTTAGCAGGAGCGTGGGAGGTGCCAGCTCGTCCGTTAAAATCACATGCGCCACGTAGATGGCACAACATGGATTGAACGACGTATGTTGAACAACATATACTGCACGACATAGACTGCGCCGCATAGATTGGGCCACATTGGTTCCACAATAAATATCTCTCTCTATATATATGAGTCTTGCGCCACGCATATTGCACCACATCGACTGCGCGGCATCGCTTGGACAACGCAAATTGCTCAACATTGATTGCATCGCGTACCTTGCGCAACAGAGGCTGCGCCACATATATTGCGCAACGTGGACTGCGTCGCACAAATCACGCACTGCATATCTGGTTCAACATAGGTTCTCCTTTTTTCCCCTCAAGAAACTAGGGCCCCCTCGGCTTTGTGGGCACGCCATTGCGCATTGCACTTTACACGCGATTCTGCCCCATCGTCCATCCTAAATCTTAATAGATGCAGTCCCAGCCCAGCCAGTTTCAACGCCCCCCCCGCCACCCTCTGCAAAATCAACTACGCGCGCGCACTCGTGCATCAAAACCTACCAGTTTGCATGAATCCCTTGCCGAAGACGAAACGAAGTGCAAGCGCGCGCGTCGTCGCGCGCGCGCGTCGAAATCCTCAGAGAACCATGCGTTTCGAAAAGATTCCCAAATCGAGTGTCCGACATATAGATATGTATATATATATATATATATATATAAGCACATGGATTCACCGTGCGAGTTTTCGCGCGCGCGCAAGAAACGCGCGCGCGCGCGCCCTTGCGAATTCTGAAGACAAGCATCGGTTTCTCACCATGTACAGAAGATGCTGCCAAAAAAGCTTTGCGCGCGCGCGTCGAAAACGCTCGCGCGCCCTTCCGCGCGCCGTCGCGAGAATCCGGTGCGTAAAAAGAAAAACGGCGCGCGCGCGCGTCGCCCCGCGCGCGCGCCGAAATTCTTCAAGCATCCTACGCTGTCGCAACGATTTCAAAATCGATTGCCCAGCAAACATTCAAGCATGCATGGTTTCGCAACATCCGTTTTCCCAAAAAGGCTTGCGCGCGCGCTCTTGCGAAGTCTTGCGAAAACCATTTTTTCCGACGCGCCCGTAAAATTATGCAAAGCGGGCCTTTGGCGCCGCATGCCGACACCATTCGCGCGCCCTTGCGCGCGTGCTGGGGGGGGGGGGGGGGGGCGCGATCCGCGTCGCATGACGCCGCGCTGGCCGCTCGCGCGCCGGCCGCGCGCGCGCGTCGAACGCCTTCCAAGACCTTCGTCGCCGGCGCGAGGGCGCCGTCATCGTCGTTGGCGTGATCAGCATGGGCGCCCGCACTGGCCGCGCCTTCGTCAGTGCGAACATCGTCGCCAACATCGCCAGCATCAGCGTCGCGTCTACCGCCCGCGACGCCGCGCCCGCCCAAGTCGCCGACTCGCAGTGAAGTGCTCACCGGGATGCACCCCGGCCGCGTCGGCGGCGCCAATCTAGCCGACCGCTGCGCGCGCGTGCTAGGGTCGGCGCGGCCGCGAGAGATGCGCACCAGCCAACGCCGAGCATGCGTCGCAATCGTCACCGCATGGGCATTTGCAAACCAAGTTGCGGGTGGGCGGGTGGGATTTTGCAAGAGCAAGGGATGTGCCAACTCGTTTGTTAGAATGAATCGCACGTCGTAGATTGCACCACGTAGGTCGCGCAACAACTATTCCACAACATACATTGCACAACAATTATTTCAAACCGTACATTGCACCGCATCAACTGCACGGCGCCTATATAGCACAGCGCATCTAGCACCGCGTAGATTGCGCCACATATGTTGCTCAACATAGGCTGACCTACATATATTGCACTACGTTGCGGGGCAACGGGCGCAACCGTCATCGGCGCGCGGCAAACCTCAAAACGCCAACAGGCTGGGTTGAAACGCTCTGACCCAAGTGCACTCGACGCCGGCGCGCTGCACACCGCAGGTCCAGAACGCATAGGTCAGGAGCGCTTCGACGCCTCGGGGAGGGGCATCACTCGTGCGCGAGCGGCACATCAAAGCTTCAGGGTTGGAGGTCTGGGCCGATTCACGTGTGCGGCGCAATCGTCACGGGCGCGCATCAACATTTGAGACCTGTGAGGGATTCGCTCTCGCGGAGTGAAACGGTCATGTGAACCCGAGATGCCAAAACACCCGTAATCAAAGTTATGAGTCGGCTGGCTGCCTGCGCGTGCAAGCCTCATGGGCGGCGCGGGGCCTCGAAACTGGAGAGCTCTGAATGCGCTGACGTACTATCTCACGGTGCAAATGTGATGTGTGTGCGACGGTCGTATCGAGGCGACAGAATCTGCGTTCTGGGGCGTTGTGCCACCTAACAATGCAGCCCCCATTGGTGCGAGGCGCATCGAAGCTCGATCTCATGGCATTGGCCCTCGGGGTACCTGGAAGTGTACCAATGCATTCGAGCGTGACCCTCAATTGCAGCAGCGCGCGCCGATGGTCCATAACGTGATGGTTTTGGCAAAAACGAAAATGAGACCCCCGTGGTTAAACAAACACAGCAAATATCAAACCAAGTCGTAAATCCCCGCACTTGAACGATAGCTGTAACGGTAACAGCCTTTCTTGCTCATGTCGCTATGCAACAACAATCGAATCAAAACTTGCATGCCGCAAATCTGGGTGCTATGCACAAGGACTCCCGCCTGGATATTTCCCGCGCCCCACATCCGTCCGCGCCCGGAAAATGATACCCGCCCAGATGTTCAAGCTCGTGCATGATACTTTCTAACATTACTTCCTTCTCGGCCCACTCGCAGAAGATAAGGGCTCCGCGTGACACCCTTTTACCAGTTATCATTTCTCCCCCTAGATGCAGCTTCAGCATAAGACTCTCCAGTGTTATGTTTTCCGTGCGGGACAAACTGCGGGACACACTGCCGCAATGCACTGAGTCGCATTCTAACTCGGCCACGCCAAGAAAAGGGGGCCGGTCCACTCCACTCGGCGTAAACAAGACATCATGGCCTCTGTGGCTCCCGTCCAGAAAATCCTCCTTCACAGGGCTCGGCGATGCACCATCATCATTATTACAACCACCACCACCATCATAATCAACATCACCACGTCCACTATTTCATCCAAGTCCGAAGCGACAATTAGTCTCTCCTCTGCTCCGCATCCACTTTCTCACCCACTCCTTCTGCCTCCCTCTCCTCCTACTTCCTGGGGGGACAAGAGATAGAAATACCGCTACTGCCCAAACCACTTCGCGGGTGCGGTCTGACCAGAATTCCGAGGCGAATCCGGCGGTGGCGACCAGGGCCTCCCAGGAGGCCCAGAAAGGCGAAAACGAGGCACGTGTAGCGGTAGTACCTTTCCTCCTCTAACTTTCCGCCCCTCCTTATATTTTCTCCGCCCGTTTGAGTGCCCCAAGCGCGACCAGGTAGCCCCGCGGGGCCGTGACCATGACGGCGTCGGGCCCTGAGCAAAGAGGGCTTTCCGGAACGAGGTCGGCTGCGAGGACATCCACCCCTTCTCCATCCCCGCGCCCATCCCTCCTCCACGCTCCCGAGGCCCCCTCGAACCATGAAAACATCTCGACGGGAGGTTTTTCGCTATTGTCGGCCTCTGGGGGCACTTACCAAGCATCGGGGTCGTCAAAAAACGACTCGGGATGAAAAGTCGGTCCCGGGGACTGGGTCGAGACCTCGGGGGGTCAACGTTAGTCGGCGGTGGACAAACCTCCCTTTAGTAAACCTCCCCTTAGTGAAAACGGCCTGGGACCGAAACCGACGGACCTGGACCCGCAGAAATGACGGCCGCGACGCCCTCTCGCGATCCGAAAACGGCAAATTCCTTTACTCGACGTGTCAGGGCAGGAGGTCGATCCACCCCCGAGTTATGACACATCGTGACGTCGAATGTCTGGGCTCTCGCCCTGCCCTCCATCCACCCACGCTCCTCCTGTCGCCCTGCTGCCCGCTGCATCCCTAGTCCCCTTGCTCCTGCTCCTTTTCAAGGCTCTCCCCTCCATCCATCAGTACCATTCACCCCCTTCCTCGAAGACGCGAGAGAGAGAGAGAAAACAAAAAAGGGAGAAAGAGAGAGAGAGAGAAACAACAACAAACGAAACAACCGGGGGCACAGATGGCGGACCCAAACCATTTTCGCGAATACTGCCAACCCACGTCTGCATGAAGATAGACGGGAGTTCCTCACAAACACCACTCTGGACCATCAGACACAAAGTCTCAAAGGCATCGAACCGAAGCTCCAAAACATTGAACCAACCCGGCGGAATGTGACAACGCACTGAGCGCTGCAGCCATCAAACCGGAATGCGCGTGCCGACTGGGGAATGTGATCTTGACAGTCATCGACTCCGCCATCCCAAATGCTGACAGCTGGCGGCTGGGGGAACGCAGGGGCGACACACGGATGCCACAGCAGGTGTGGCCCAGGGTGAATATGATGACATGGGTGATGGAACGAGGGGGGGGCAGACGGACGGGTGGACGTACGCAGGAACGGGGTGGGAAGAGCAAGAAGTGAGGATGAGGGCAGAAACGCGAAGGCAGGAAGGGCTGTAGACAGAAGTGGAGGAACATACACACACACAAACTCATCGTGGCAGCGCCGACCCCTGGGAGAACCTTGGGGTACACTGACCAATGCGGGCTTCCAAGAACCCGAGGCATGCTGGAGATTTCGGAGGCATCCCAACAGGTGGCGGGATGTAACGATTGCGTCCTGGGGAATTAATCGCACCCGTACGAGCGCCTGGATTGAGGGAGCGATTCACATGCTCTACAATTCCACCACGCAAGGTGCAGCGCTCGCTGGGCTACTTTTCGAGGTCACCAGGCTGCGAAGATCCACGAGGACACAATATGTAGGGCCATCCGAATGCACCCCTGAAATACCCTTACGCACACTAGCGCGCACGCACGCACACCCACACACACACAAACAAACAAACACACAAAAACACACACGCACACACAAACACACACAAACACACACACACACGGACACAAACACAAACGCACACACACACCACGCACGCACGCACGCACGCACGCACGCACGCACGCACGCACGCACGCCCGCACGCGCGCACACACACAAACACACAAACACACACACACAACCACACGCACATATACACACCCACACAGACTGAGACATACGCGCAAGCACACACATTGACACACGCACACGCACACATTCACACATCAACACGCACACACGCACACACGCGCAACACGGACACACGCACACACACAGACACGGACACACATACCAACACAAACACCCACAGAGACACACGCGCAAATACACACATTCACACATGCACACACACACATTCACGCATCCGTACAATCACACGCACACACACACACACGCACACAAACACACAAGCACACGCACACACACACACGCAAACACGGACACAAACACACACACACACACTGAGACACACGGGCAACCACGCGCACGGGCACACAAACACGGAAACAGGCACAGACACCCGCACACACACGCACACGCACACGCACACGCACACGCACACGCACACGCACACACACAACACACACACACACCACACACACCACACACACACCACACACACCACAGACACACACCACGCACACACCACACACACACCACACACACCACACACACACACGCACACACGCACACACGCACACACACACACACACACTAACACACACATGCATTCGCAAACACGCAGACACACTAACACACAAACACAAAGACAAGCACACACACACCAACCCAGACATAGTCGCTGCGAATTAATGCAAATTGTTGCTGCCACTGCCCCGGTTGGCCATAGAGCCTCAACACTATGTTGCGAGATTGGCTAGGCGAATCAATTTCATCTGGCATGGGATGCCTTCGAATTGTGAGAGAAGGCATCAATTTCGCTGTATACAAAATCTCAGTTCGCGTGAATGACATATCGGGTTTTCGGCTCCACGACGTTTCACATTCAAATGCCACAGCGGTTGCCCGAACTTCACCGGGAAACTCGTTCGGGCAGAAACCGACATCTCCGTGTCCGAGCATGAAGATTGATGCATGGCGAACGGTCCATCGAACAAACACCTCCGTAAGCTCAGGGGGCTCGCCAAGAATCTCATGTCTGGCTAGCGGGTCATTGCACACATAGACTCTCATTACACTCCTAAACCGAATACGCCAAAAAGGACGGCGCAGTACCGTAGCGACCATTGGCAATTCCAAACGAGAGGCAACCGCAAAGCTAAAGCGCTTCCAGAGCGAACCACCCAAGTCAAGGCTTTAATGTCCATGGGCATTGAAGGATCCCACTGGGTATTGCCTCAAGAACGGCAACTGCAACCCAAACGAATCCTACTGGTGATTTCTGTCGGAAGGCACCGGGTCAGCTTTCTTTGTCGAACAATCGCAGTGCGTCATTACGAAAGCTCGCGCACAATTAATGCCACTGCCCATTGCGGCCGTGACGCACCCAGAGTCTTCTGCGTGCGAACTCGAAATCATTCAGGTCTGAACCCAACACGTTGTTTGCTCATCCAGCAAAACCTAACAATTCTTCGCGACGGTGGGGGATTCTACAGGAGCGGCAACTACACAATTTAAGCGGTCCCAAGAGCACCTTCAATTTTTCTGTGTCGATGGGCATTGGAAAACAGCGCTTCGCCGCCACGAAAGTTCGCGCGGCTGTGACGGACTGCCAGGCACGGAGGGAGGGATGGAGAGAAGGATGCAGGAATGATTGCAGCGAAGAGGGAGGGAGAGTAGAGGGGAGGAGAGGGGCACAAGCGGAGAGGGAAGGGAGCGGCACCGTCGGGGAGAAGAGCGGGTAAGAGGAGGAGGAGGAGCAGGAGGAGGAGGAGGAGGAGGAGGGGGAGAAGGACGAGGAGGAGGAGGAGGCGGAAGGGATGAAGGAGGGTGGGCGGAGGGAGGGTGGGCAGAGGGAGGGAGGAGGGGAGGCCCGCGTGAGGGCAAGAGGACGGAAGATGGGAGAGGTGAGCTGGAGCCTTTCGAGCTCGCGAATCGCAAGGAGGCGACGGAGGTGGGGATCTTCACCTCCAGCAGTGGGCCGAAGCGCTTGAAGTGCTTCTGCAGCACCACCTGGCAGAGTCCGCCGCTCCTCGTGCTCCTCGTCATCATAGTCACGCCTTCCTCCCCCTCCTCTTCCTCCCCTCCTCCTCCTCCTCCTCCTCCTCCTCCTCCTCCCCACCCCCTCCCCCTCCTCCTCCTCCTCCTCCTCCTCCTCCTCCTCCTCCTCCTCCTCCTCCTGGCTCAAGGCAGCATTTCACTCCTGGTCAGGTCCAGGAGCTTGGGGCTCGAACTTTTCGGGCGTTTCGCTGGCTCACCGCTCCTGCATGCCTGGCAGCCATGGCGGTCCCCCCGCTGTCGCGCGAATCGAGGTCTCAGTTCCTGCTGGACTCGAGGTCAACCTCACGTGCGCCGTCAGGGACATCGGGAATGTTGGAGCCTCCACCTGGAGACCTTCGACCTCTACACCAGCCGCCTGCTACGTGGGCGGTGAAGTGGGCAGTTCCTGGTCTCCCAACGGACACCATGGGCCAGGTGCTACTGGGTCCTCATACGTCAGTCTCGTACCAGTACCTGCGGTGCCAGTACTACAGTTTCGCGACCTTGGCATTGGCGCCCACGACCGCGGAGGTGGAGCACAGCCTTTTCCCCAAGGAGCGGGTGCAGCACGGCAAGCGCAGTACCAAGGACAAGAAGGTCGTGAAGGACAAGAAGGAGAAAAAGGAGAAGAAGGAGAAGAAGGAGCGAAAGAGCAGCGTGAAAGGGCAGGACCGTGGGGGTTTACGAGCTGGAGTCCAGGGCGGCGGACTAACCGAGTTCTACGATCGTAGTGCCCGAGGTGTGCAGGGAGGACCAGGTGCTGTTGATGACCGTGCCTCTCTGTGCTTTTCCAAGCACGAGTGCTTCGATGGCGGCGAACCCTTCGAGCTCTTTGTGGAGAACGGCCTGGAGGGTAAGCAGTCGGACGGTGCTCACATTTTTCCTCAAGAAGCCGCTGGGGATCAAGGCGAGCGTGAGGGGCAAGAACATGAGCTTCCAGAATCCAAGAAGTTCCTGCAGCTGACCTTCTTCATGCTGCTGGTGACTTGCATCCCGACGGAGGAGGAGGCGAAGTGCGACAGCTTCTCGGAGACGATCGCGGCGATTCTGTTCAGTATCTACATCAAGAAGTTGCTAAATTTCATTCTGACGCTGGTGGTGTGGCCAACTCCAGCGAGTACGACCCCAAGATTTTCGCCGCAGGGAGTTCGTGTGCTTCGAGCATTGTTCCTCCTGCGAGTGTATCGTGTACGGCGTCGTCTTCTCTCGACGACCGTTTGCAGCTGAAGGACGTTGTTGCCGTCCTCAAGGGTATGTCGAAGCTCTCCGTGCGGCAGTGGAGGCAGGTGGAGGCGCGGTTCCGCCTGTCGTGGAAGCAGGCCTCGAAGCCCTTGCGCGGGGCTTACGCGGCGCTGGCCGAGAAGGGGGACTTCGACGTGGCTGAGCTGGTGGACTTGTTCGAAGCCGCTGTTGCTCATGAGATGGGGGAGAGTACGAGCTAGAGAGCGACATCATCAATTCGGTGCTGTCCTTCGAGGATTGTGTACCGGTATCGTGTGGGCCGTGCGGGTCGGCCTCATGTGCAAGAATTTCGAGATGCTGAGCTTCCTCATCTAAGCCTCCGCCCGCTCACGCTTCTGCAGTGTCGTGCGGAGATGTAGCCAGTGAAAAAATCCTCCTCCTCCTCCTCCTCCTCCTCCCCCTCCTTTCTCCTCCTCCTCCTCCTCCTCCACAATTACACAATATGAAAATACTCTCCCACTTCCCCTGATGGCGTCCGGAAGATATTCGGCACCCCCCGCGTACTGTTTTTTTACACACAGGATTCCCCGGAGTTGGGTTTTCGCTTGCGTTTTTTCTAAAATGCTGCTCTCGCTGAGGCGCCGGCCTCATTTCTGCTCCCGAATCGTTCCGAATCGTGCTCCCGCTCCAGCGTGGGCCTCATTTTCGGATCGGTGTTTGGCCTCCGGCGTTGAGGATGGCGTTCTCGCCCCAGCGCGGGCCTCTTTCTCGCGCGCCCATCCGCCCGCCACCACCGCGCCGCACCAGCACCAGCACCAGCACCAGCACCACACCAGCACCAGCACCAGCACCAGTACCACCAGCACCAGCACCAGCACCAGCACCAGCACCAGCACCAGCACCAGCACCAGCACCAGCACCAGCAACAGCACCAGCACCAGCACCAGCACCAGCACCAGCACCAGCACCAGCACCAGCACCAGCACCAGCACCAGCACCAGCACCAGCACCAGAACCAGCACCAGCACCAGCACCAGCACCAGCACCAGCACCAGCACCAGCACCAGCACCAGCACCAGCACCAGCACCAGCACCAGCACCACCACAACCACGCACACACGCACGCACGCACGCGCACCACCACCCACTACGCACGCGCGCGCGGAGCCACAGGTCCGCTACGACACGCGTCCGCGGATAGAGAAAATCAGCGCCATGGTAAGGGATGGGAGGGAGGGGTAGGACGTCAGATATGACGCGAGCGCACCTAGCTTGTCCTCCTCCCCCTCCCCCTCCTCCTCCTCCTCCTCCTCCTCCTCCTCCTCCTCCTCCTCCTCCTCCTCAGCATCAGCATCAGCACCATCATTATCATTATCAGCAGCATCAGCATCAGCATCAGCATCAGCATCAGCATCAGCATCAGCATCAGCATCATCAGCATCATCAGCATCAGCATCATCAGCATCAGCATCAGGATCATCATCACCACCATCATCATCATCAGCATCAGCATCATCAGCAGCATCAGCATCAGCATCAGCACCAGCATCAGCATCATCATCACCATCATCATCATCATCATCATCCTCATCATCATCATCATCATCGACATCAACATCAACAACACCATCATCATCACGAACCTAATCATGGTCATGATCACGACCGTGATCATAATCAACGACAACATGATCGCCCCAACCACCGTCAACTTCCTCATCACCGTCTTACAATCAACCGCCGCCGTCATCCTCCTCATCATCATCGTCATGATCATGGTCATCATCATCGTTACCACCACCATCACCGCCACCACCACCACTGGCGTCGTCGTCTTTCTCTTTTCCGTCCTCATCCCACTTTTCCTGACCTCGTTCATGCTCACGATCACAATGTTGCCCTCCCCTCCTCATCATCATCATCGTCTTCCTCCTTCTCCTCCTCGTCTTCCTCCTCCTCCTCCTCCCTCCTGCTCCTCATCCTCGTCCTCCTCCTCCTCATCGTCATCTTCCTATCCTGCTCCTCCCCCATTGTCCTCCTCCCTCCCCCTCTTCCGCAGCCCCCCCTGCCCTCCCTCCACCCCGCCACCTGCCCCCTGTCGCAGTCGCGGCGGCTGGCCGGTTGCCGACTCCCGCCGCCCAAGCCAGCCCTCCAGGCGCATCGCATTGCCTGGGGCGCCTGTCCTGGCTGAGCCGTCTCCCCCCCTGAGATTCGACGTTGCCAAGAAATCGCCGCAACGCGAAAAATAACGACTGGAGCCCTAGACATTAGACGAAGCCATGACGAAGAACAATTCGGCGGCTCTGGAGGATGTATCGGGCGCCGCGGGCTTCTCAGAGCGTTCCACAGGCGCTCTGAGAGCGCTCCAGATCGCTCTGGAACGGATTCATCCCTCTCTTCCGCCATCTCAATCTCCTCCTCTTCCTCCTCCTCGTCCTCCTCCTTCCTCTCCTCCTTCTCCTCCTTCTCCGCCCCCATCTTCGCCTCCTCCTCCTCCTCCATCTCCGCCTCCTCCTCCTCCGCCTCCTCTTCCTTCCCCCCTCTTCTTCTTCCTCCTCCTCCTCCTCTCCCTCCTCCTCCTCCTCCTCCTCCTCCTCACTCCTCTCGTCTTTTTCAAACGTTTCCCTCCTCTCGTCTTTTTCCGACTCCCCCCTCCTCCTCTCCTCCTCCTTCTCCTCATCCTCCTCATCGCCCTCCGTCTCCTCCTCCTCCTCTTCCTCCTCCTTCACCTCCTCCTCCACCTCCTCTTTCTGTACGCGTTGGGGATCCATGCGGTATGCGCACATCCACCCAACTCCCTCTCCTCCTCCTCCTCCTCCTCCTCCTCCCTCCTCCTCCTCCGCTCCTCCTCTCCTCCTCCTCAGCCTCCTCCTTCCATCGTCGTCGTCGTCCTCTTCCTCCTCCCGTCTTCCGCCCCTCTCCTCTCTTCTTCCCTCCTCTTCCTCCTCCTTCTCCTCCTCCTCCTGCTCATCCTATTCGGCCATCCCTGGGCTTGCCACTTAAACGCTAGCGGGGCACTCTTTCCACCCCCCCCACCCCCTCCCCCTCTCCCCTCCTCGCCCTCGCTCAGACGTGCACTGCCCTTGCGCCTTTCTGCTTCGTGGGCGTGTCTTTTTTTTTTCCGCAAGACGATCCAGGATACTCCTCGATGGACCCCGCCGACAAAAAAAGTGCACACGCCCGAGCGTCGACAAGCCTCCTCCCCTCACCCCGCCCCGCACTGGGCGACGCCTTCGCCTTCGCCTGCCACGCGCCCGAGGCCGGGTCGCCCGGGATGCAGGCGTCCAGGTCGGCCACCTCCGGCCACTGAGCGCGGCACACCCCACCGCGCTGGGAGTGGCGGGGGGGGCGGCAGGAGGAGGAGGAGGGGGGAGGAGGAGGAGGAGGAGGAGGAGGAGGAGGAGGAGGAGGAGGAGGAGGAGGAGGAGGAGGAGGAGGAGCAGGCAGCAGGAGCAGGAGGAGGCAGCAGGAGGGAAGGAGAGTGAGAGGAGGAGCAGGAGGGAGGAGGAGGAGCCGAGAGGAGGAGGAGGAGGAGGAGGAGCAGAGCAGGAGGAGGAGGAGGAGGAGGAGGAGGAGGAGAAAGGAGGAGGAGGACAGGAGCAGGACACAGGAGCGGGGAGCAGGAGGAGGCGGCGGCGCCCCAGGGGCAGCGAGAGGCGCAGGCCCTCGCAGAGCCTCCGGGAGCACGCCGAAGGCGGAGTCCTGCGGAGCCTCCTCGGGGGAGGGCCCGCCCCCTCCTTAAGGCGTCCCTCGGACGCCCCTTTCCCATGCGTTTTTGTCGGTCTCGTGTCGGGGAGACGTAAGACCCGAGTACGGGGGACTCGGAAATCCCCGACGAAGTCGTCAAAAAATGACGAGGCCGAGCCTGCATTTTGACGAGGCCTCCCGCTGCAGACATCCCACGAAACTTCTCCTCGTCAAAATCCGAGTCGCGGTCGTCAAAAAACGGTGGCGAACCCGAGTCCTGGCAAACCCGGGTCTTACGCTTCCCCGATTTTTGTCGGTCTCGTGCGTGTGTTGTTCCCCCCGATGGTCCAGAATGTTCCTCGAGGGTCCTCGCCGAGAGAAACACACGCGTCCGAGCGATGCTCCCCCCCCCCCCCCCGGGAGCGCGCCCGGGAGCGCGCCGCGGATCCTCTCCCCCCTCCTCTTTTTTGGGGAGCGGAGCGCGCACTGCTTACCGACTCGTCTTCTGCCGGCAGCGCCCACCTTCGACAGCACTTGTGCCTCATGCTCCTCACAGCTCCAGATGTCTAGATGTCTGTCTACGACCGTACGGGCTCGTCTGGTCACTCTGGCCGCTGCGCCCCGCTGTGGCCATACTGATGTGCTGCACAACCTCCCTACGAATAGATCGCATCCCTCTGCGTGACTGTTGGCCCGCCAGCAGCGACGCGAGATATGTCCTGTCGGTTCAAACCAAATTCGACTTCAAGCCAAGTTGGGTTGAATCTCAGCTTGGTCAGCGCCAAGTGGCAATGCATTGCAGAGGACGCCTCACGAATGGATGCGAGGATGAAGGGACGATGATGGTCTAGTTGGATGCCACAGAGGATGGGCAAATCTGCATGTGGCCAACTCCCGTATTGGTACACTCATTTCCACATGACAACACATGATTCAACACATCATTTTGGATGTGGCATTACTCTGGTCATGACTCTTCCACCGTCTCCTTTAGAAACTACGACAACCCCATGCCGACCCTGATTGCGTATCGAATGATCGTTTTCAAACAAAGCCATTCGCCTCATTACCGCACAAGCAGTGTCATGTATTCCAGTGTGATTGCCGAGATCTCTGCAAACGTCCGACTGCTCGTGCCCGATGGCAGCAAGAGGCGTGCAAGCGGCGAACCCTCCACCCAGAGAGGATCGGAGTTTGTGCGTTTACTATTTTTGGTTGAGTCAAGAGACAAGTCATTCATATACATATACCTACGTCTTATACGTACACCAAGGCGATACACATCGGAGTGGCAGGGGGGGCGGGCAGGGGGCAAAAAGATAGGGCAGCGCGGGGAGTGGATGGGGACCAGCTAGGTGCGCTCGCGTCATATCTAACGTCCTAGGCTTCCCTCCCATCCCCCACCATGGCGTAGATCTCCTCTCTATTCGCACAGTCGGATATCGTGGTATGGCAGTATGGCGTAGCATTACATGGCACATCATGGTGTTGAAGATCAACGCGTAGCATGACAGAGCATGGCGCGGCGACTCCCCAGTGGGGGGGCTTCTGCGGCCAAAACTATCAACGAATCGACACCGAATGTGGAATCACTTCCGCTGGTTTTTCTTCGGGTGGGCATTTTCTAGATTGTTGGGCATATCTGGAAGGACCGAAAACAGTGACGTGGCATGGAAGTGGAAATAATGACGCCTGCGCCGCATCGGGAACACGATTTGGGACGAGCGTCAGCGCGGCAATGAGGCCAACGCTGCAGCGAGACCACGATTTGAAACGAGCGGAAACCCGAAAATGAGGCCAACGCTTCAGCGGGAGCAACATTTTGAGAGAATCAAGAGCGAAAACCCACTTTCCATGAATCTGGCGTAAAAACAAATGCGCGGAGGGGGGCCGGAAATCTTCCGGACGTCATCAGGGGAGAGAAGAGAGTAGTACTCAGATTTGTAACTGTAGAACAAATGATGGGGAGGGACATGAGAACGGGAATGAAAAGGGGAGGGGCAGGGGAGGCTCTGCCCGAGCACCGATAAGAGTAGCGAGCAACTAGTAAATATGAAAAACCGCCTCGCCTCTGCACAACCCTAACACCCAAACAGCCCAACACCTTGACACAATAACATACCAACACCCACACACATGAAGATCCCAGCACCCCGGCATCCTAAGAGCATCGATCCCCGACACCCGAAGACCCTAAGGACCTAAAGCCCAACCGCGCCTGCCCGACACCCGAAGACCCTAAGAACCCAAAGCCCAACCGCGCCTGTGGTCGGTGCAGCAGTGCGTGGGTCCAAGACGGCAGCGGGTCTGGAACTGCGAGTCCGACCACGTGGAGCGGGGGGGGGGCGGGCAACGCAGCGGCGCTGGGGCCCCGCGCGCCTCTGTGCGGAAAGACGTGGGGCCGGCTCGTGGGTCCACAATGTAGCCGTGTGCAGGTCTAACCACGCGTGCGGTCCGTGCAACAGTGCGCGGGTGCAAAAAGGTTGTGCGTAGGCCCGGACCGCTGTAGTCGACGACGACGACGACGACGACGGCGGCGGCGGCGACGACCGACGACGACAACGACTGTGGCACGTCAGTAATCAGCCTGAGACGGGGAAGACTTCGCCTCGTATGTATACGATCCTTACAACAACTTCTTTACGAAGGGCAATCATTTTCAGGCTGCCGTGCAGGAGGGTAGACGGTCCCCTCGACGGCGCCCGCGACGACCCCTTGGCGCGCGCGATTCAACAAGTTGTTTCGCGCCCCGCGGAGTCTATTCATGAGCCCCCAGGGGGTTCCTCATTTCTTAAATCACGAGCTGACATTACGCCGCTGCAGAGCGAAGAGGGGTGGGAAGCCCAGCACACCCAACCGAACCCGAAGAAATCGGAGGGGGCCGAATAAAAGATGAAGCGCCCCAGGATCACCCAAGGCACCCGAATTAATCATCCCAAAGGTCGATCCAGGGGGGCATGGCGCGGAGGAGGAGGAGGAGGAGGAGGAGGAGGAGGAGGAGGCCCCCAAGGAGGAGGGAGGAGAGGAGGAGGAGGAGGACCCCAAGGAGGAGGAGGAGAGAAGAGGGAGGAGAGGAGGAGGAGGAGGAGGAGGAGGAGGAGGAGGAGGAGGAGGCCTCCAAGGAGGAGGAGGAGGAGGACCCGATCCCCCCTCGCCTCCCCTGCTTACCTGCCCACCTCCCTGCACGGGCCAGGCAGGGCGCCTCCACCACGCAGGCGGAGGCCCCGGTGGACGCATCTCCACCTCTCGGGGGAGGGGCGCCGGCAGGCAAGCGGCTGGAGACTTCATGCTCAGGGCTCGGAAAGGTGAGGAGCCGGGGGTGCACGGGGGATGCATCTCCACCTCGAAGGGGGGGTGGCCGCGCCGGCATGCACGCGGCCGGAGACTTGATGCTCAGGGCTCGGAAGAGTGAGGAGCAGTGTGCATCGTAGCTGTGCGTTCTTCTGCAGCATCTCATGGGAGCCTCCCCTACCGTATTGTTGGCACTGGCGAATCGGCGCTGATCGACGCAAAATCGACGCTCATAGACGCCAGTCGACACTGTATCGGCGTTCCCTCATCGAGCTCCACGCGCTGATCGACGCGAGTGCACCCTACAGACGGAATTGCGAGAACATGCGTGACTACCTACCAAACCACCCCAACCCAACCCGAAGTCGCCGTTGGGCCTGCCAATTTCCAAAAGGGGGGGGGGAGGGGGGGGGGCGTTCCGTAAACCCCCCAACCCGAAATTCTCGGGACTTGGGGAGCTTCGGGTTGGGTTGGGTCGGGGTGGCTTGGCAAATAGTGCATACACGCCGGTCCGCAGAAGTAGGCAAAAGCATGAAATCGAAAGATGGATAAAGTAGGTTTGGTGCAGGCCCTCCCAAAGAAGAACAAAACGCAGTATAAGCATATCGGTTCTTGACGTAGGAAGGCGCTTGAAGTAGATTGGTATCTGGGAATCCAGAAACAATGCTTTCAACGGCAGGCGCATACACGGCTCCCTTGACTTGCTGCCGAAACCCTCCACTCCCCCTCCCTCTCCTCTCCCGTTCCCCCCCCCCCTTTGCGTCTCCTTTTCCCACCAACTCCCCCGTCCTCGCCCCCTGGCCTCCTCTACCCTCTCGGCCGCCCTCGTCGCTTCTTCGACCAAGGCAAGCTGGCAGGGACGTCGGGAAGTACACGGGTTTTGACGTTGACGCTTCATGGATCGTTCAGCTTTGGAGGATCGAGGCCGTCCAATAGCGAAGACCGTATGATATTGCCAGATTCTGGATGCTGGCGGCGTTCAACCTGCACGCCTGCGCTGGGGTCACCGCCGCGTCAAAGTGGCGCGGAACTGCCGCACCAGCCACTGCCTCGCAGTGCGAGCCCTGAGCGCGACGAGTGCTATCTGTGCCCCCTCGGCCCACGTTGCCAGCCCTGTCTGCACCCACCAAGCACTGATTTGTGGTGCGCGCGCCAGAACTATTCTTGCAGCCCGAATGAAAGGCCCTGGTCTGCCAACTACAATCACGCAACGCGACCCCGCCAACGATGCCCGAAGGCATCTTCCGTCAACGCAAACATCAATCACTACGCTCGCATACCTCAATCAACGTCAGATGGGATGACCAACCAGGGAGAGGAAGGACAATCGCAGGCACGATCCATCCATCGGCCCCAGAGCATAACAAACACACGTGCAGGGTTGGAACCCCATACAGTGGAGACAAATGTCAAGAACCACCCTGCTTGCCTCCACGGTGCCCTGGGTTTCTTGGGTCTCGAAGGGTTTGCTATGGAAGGCGTGAGGTTCCCACACCAGAAATCAGTTGACGTCCTGGGGTCTCAGGGTTGGTTCTTGTGAAAGGTTTCTTGCGCTCGAGCCCCTACTGTAGGGAGGGTAAGGGGGGGTGGGGAAAACGACAGACAGAGCATCCTCACTGCCTCCAAGATGGCGGAACTGCTCGGTGCAATGCTGCCCACAAGGAAGGGGTCCCCAAAGCCAGCCCACCACGCGGCGCAAACGACGTGCAGAGGCAACCCGTGACAGTGACGAGGGCACACGGACGACGAGGTGAAGGACGGGGAAGAACAGAAGCTCGCGGGGGAGGTGAACGTGGGAGGACAAGCAGGAGGACGGGGGCATGAAGAGGTAGTGGAACCAATGGGTAGAACAGAGGAACAAAAAAACTGAGAGCTTCAACTTGAGAGTGCTCTGCACAGACTTCTGGCCCCTCCCCCCCCTGGCGGCGCCTCCGGCGCCGCCCTTGGCGGCGCTCCGCTCGCCGAGGAGGGGGGCCCAGCGCCGATCCCCCAAAATCCGCGCAGAGCTCCAAAAGTGTGTGTCTATGCTGTTTTTATCAGTCTTCGACGGACGGAGGAGCCAGCGAGCGACCACTTGGGCGTCGCTGACTGGGGGGCGATAGTTGGGGGGGAAGAAGGGTGCACTTCTCGTAGCCCGAAGGCCCCCTCTTGGGCCTTGAAAGGCCCCTTCAGGGGCTCTAGAGGGCCCCATTTCTGCAGCCCTCGCTGCCCCCCCCGCTTATCGCCCCCATCACGCGACGCCCAAACCACCTGTGCAGACAGCCGTCTGGGCTTACAGTGGAGGCCAGTCCACACGAAGCCCTACAGAAGAAACCCAACCCTGAGACCCCAGGACTTCCATGGATTTGCGGTGTGAGCACGTCACGCTGTCTAGAACAGAACCATCGACACCCAAGAAACTCAGGGCACCCTGGAGGCAAGCAGGGTGGTTCTTGGCTTGGGCCCCAGTGTAAGTTTAGGTCGGGCATGTCCCCCAACAGGCAGATTTTGGGCGAAAGCTAAAAAACGAAAAATGCCCCCCAAATAATCAAAAACAACTAAAACAATAGTCCCCAGACTATCTTTTACGATTGTTGAATGTTCCTCCTGAGGCTGCCCGCCGCCGCGCCGCCTGGCAGCGCCTCCCTCGCCACGCGGCCGCTGGGCGCGCAATGACAACATGGAGAGAAGAAGTGAGGAGCTTGATCGCGCGACCTGAATGTGCCTCCTCCTCCTCCTCCTCCACCTCTTCCTCCTCGAGACCTCCTCCTCCTCCTTCTGACGTTTCTGACGTTTCCCGCTAAGCACAGCGTCTCCCTCCTCCTTCTCCTCCTCCTCCTCCTCCTCCTCCTCTTTCTCCTCCTCCTCCTCCTCCTCTTCCTCCTCCTCCTCCTCTCCCTTCTCCTCCTTTTCCTCCTTCTCCAACTCCTCCTCGTCCTCCTCTTCTCCGTCTCCTCCTCCTCCTCCTCCTCCTCCTCCTCCTCCTCCTCTCGCAAACAATGGGTACGGTGCCGGACTGCAAATGTGTCCAACACTGACATCGGCCGCTGCTGGGCGCCACCTCCTCTCAAACGGACAGCGTCCGCGGCGGCACCGACACAGGGTCGCTTGAAGGATGGAGAGGAGCTGACGTCGGTCTTCGTGCCCATTCTTTCCGCACTCTTTCGATTGCACCGAAGAGGGAGGGCGGGAGCGAGGGGGCGGAAGGCGGGAGGAGGGAAACGGCGCCTCGGTCCAAGCGCGCGCTGCCCACTTTGACGTGCGCTGAGGCGGCGAGGAGGCGAGCGTTCAGGGCGGATCGGCTCATGCCTGGCGCGGGGGATGGGGGGCAACGATGGGGCGGGGGGGGCCAGGAGCGGGGAGGCTGAGGAGGCCGGACGAGACAGAAAAGGGGGAGAGAGGGCGGAGAAGCGACGGGAGGAGCGGGGAGGGCGAGAGGAGGAGGAGGAGGAGGAGGAGGCGGAGGAGGAGGAGGAGAGGAGGAGAGGAAGCGGAGGATGAGGAGGAGGAGGAGGACAAGGTGGGGGGGTGGAGCAGCAGCAAGGGGGGGGGGGGGGGGGGGGGTGGGGGGGGAGGGGGGGGGTGGGGGACGGCAGGAGCGAGTGGAGCAGGCGCGGCGCCTTCCCGATCAGTCGCAGCGCGGCAATGACCGCCTCCCCCGCTCCTTCGTGGCCGAGGGGCAGCGATGCGGGGGGGGAGGAGCGCAGCAAGGCCGCCACCCCCTCCTTCGCGCCCGAGGGGAGGCGCGAAGGGGGGGACCAGCTCGGGGGACACGTCGACCTGGGCGGGGTGGGTTGTCGGGCCCCCGTCGGCGATCCATGGCAGTCAATGGGCGATCGGGGGTCGATGCGCCCCCCTCCTGCGCCTTTCCACCCCGCCCCCCGCCCCCTGCCATCGCTCGGCCCCAAGTCGCCCCTTCGCAACGCATCCCGTGCATCGGGCCTCAATCGGCGATTCACGGGCGACTAGGGGGCGATGCGCTCCCCCCTGTGCATCCCGCCCCCTTGCCACTGTTCGGACGTCCACTCCCCGTGCGTTGTTTGGCCTCGTGCGTGTTATTCATTTTCAAGGTGGCACAACGTGCTCCCAAGATGCTCCCAAGATGCTCCCAAGGCGTGGCCTCGCCGAGAAAGACGCATGCGCCCGAGCGATGCCAAGTTGGGCGCGGCACGGGGTCTGCCCTGGATGGGCCCCGAGAAAATCGGGCAAGAAAGAAGTCTGTTCAAAATCGGTCCCCAGACCCCTCCCGGGGACCATCTGGTACAATGTGTTCCACCCTGGATCCGTTCCTGACGGTCCTATGGCCCGAAATCGGCCCACAGAGAACAACAAAAGCCGAAAGCCAACACGAAGCCAGAACCTTGTACCCCGTCCCCCCTCCTTGCTCGCCGGAACGAACCAGTGCTGGGCCACCTCAGACCCCCAGCCAGCTCCAACCCCCAGGGTTGCCCCGTCGCACCGTACCGGGTGCTCAGACCGCCACGATGTTGAGACCGCCCTGGGCTACTCGGGGGGCCTGTTGAGGCCGGCCGTGACTGTTCGGGGGGCCTGCCGAGGCCAGCCGATGGTGCCAAGGGGGGCTGTTTGTGCGCAGCCAGAGCCTGACACCCACGTCCGAGGAGGAGGAGGAGGAGGAGGAGGAGGAGGAGGAGGAGGAGGAGGAGGAGGAGGAGGAGGGGGAGGGGAGGAGGAGGGGAGGAGGAGGGGGAGGAGGAGGAGGAGGAGGAGGAAGGCGGAGGAGGAGGAGGGGAGGAGGAGGGGGAGGAGGAGGAGGAGGAGGGGGAGAGGAGGGGGAGGAGGAGGAGGAGGAGGAGCGAGGAGGAGGAGGGGAGGAGGAGGAAGGAGGAGGAGGGGTAGAGGGAGGAGGAGGAGGAGGAGGGGGAGGAGGAGGGGAGGAGGAGGAGGAGGAGGAGGAGGGGGAGGAGGAGGGGAGGAGGAGGAGGCAGGGAGGAGGAGGAGGAGGAGGAGGGGGAGGAGAGGAGGAGGAGGAGGAGGAGGAGGAGCGATGCCAAGATGGCCACCGCTCCTGCTCGCTTCTCCTCCCTTCGCCTCGTTTCTCGTCCTCGCTCCTCGCTCCTGCTCGCTCCTCCCCTCTCGGTCTGCTTCGCCTCTCAAATTTTCTCACCCTCCTCCTCCTCCTCCTCCTCGTCCTCCTCCTCCTCCTCCTCCTCATCATCCATCATCTACTCATCCTCCTCGCTCCGCGCTC